CAATACAAGACTGTTCCTTATATTTTCTGTAGTTTGTCCATCTGCCACTGTGAAGTGACTTCACTTAGCCTGTATCTTTCTAGTTACCTTCTAGTTTTCTTGGTGGTCCCTGTGGTCCCTCCGTCTTGCTGTTTGCGTTTTGCTCCTCTTCCTTTGCCACTACCTCCTGCTGCAATACCTCCTTTGGAGAGAAATCACCACAATACAAGACTGTTCCTTATATTTTCTGTAGTTTGTCCATCTGCCACTGTGAAGTGACTTCACTTAGCCTGTATCTTTCTAGTTACCTTCTAGTTTTCTTGGTGGTCCCTGTGGTCCCTCCGTCTTGCTGTTTGCGTTTTGCTCCTCTTCCTTTGCCACTACCTCCTGCTGCAATACCTCCTTTGGAGAGAAATCACCACAAATCTACATCAGCTAACACTTTATGTAACAGCTGGTGCCAATGGGAATCCGTGAGTGTGGAAACTCCATGTAAGTCACACTAGCAAATGGCTTCATTAAAACAGAAAACTATCAACTTTTATAGAGGTTTGATACTGACACCAGAGAAAACTACTCTAGCAGAAGATAAAATTTATTTACAGTCTCTAATCGGTTTTTAGAGAAACGTGTTGATTTAAATAATCAATGTAAAGGTCAATTAATAACATTCTATTAATAGGACTCAAGTTTTATTACATGAATTACAAGTCTTTACTTTCCCATAGCATTCCTTTCAAATGGTATGGTTTGTATATTTAGTTTGAGAACAAATACTGACACAATTTCATGGAAGTTCCAAACACACAAGACAACAAAAGATATGTTTTTGCAGAAGTATGCCCCCAAAAGGCAACTTTTCCCCATTTTAAGCAGACTATCAGTTGTCTCAATGACTTACAATATGCTTGCAATACACTTTGACACACGTCTGCTTCAGCTGTAAGCACTTAACATTAAAGTTCAATATATAAAAGGAAATACACCAAAATAGGGAAAAGAAGAAGCAATAAAAGGTGCTTCTCTGCAGTGTTTCCAAATTTGATATAGTTTGCAATGTAAACAATAATAGCAAGGCATTTCATGTTAATATTAAATGTCTTCAAACACAATTTATCCAACTATAGGATAGGACAAAACACTGAACATCTAACATCAGAATCATGCCAAATTATTGTGTAACTTCTTTAATGTATTTGATAAACTAAGTTAGTTGAATCTCTATTGAATATTTTAGTATGTAAGTGATAAAATACACCATGTACCTCTGAGGAAAAACATGGCTTACTTGCATTACCTACTTAAAAATGAAAGAATACATGATTTTGTTGTACTGCAGGGAAACACCCTTCACAACCGCATAGTGTACTGTAACTAAAAAAGTAGCAAGCTTTTAAATTATCAGCATACCTGTTGCAGTGTAAGGGATTGAGACCTTTCAGGGATATCATATTCTGCACAAACATGGACTGATCTCAACTGTGCTTGCTTGAATCTAACACCTTAGTTTGTCATAGCAGGTTTGTAAATCGAAAAAGTGAATTCTTCAGAAGCCAGTAATTACATTCTGAACTTTAGTGTCAAATTGAAACAGAATCCTACACAAGAGAACAAATTACAGTGAAAGGGACACCTTATACCAGTCATGTGAGGCAGAATATGACAATTTAAAAGCTTCTAAATGCTAAACATTAAAAACTGGAATTACTGTGTCATTAACTATTACTGCAATCATTTTTAGGACACACTTTAGATTTTTAATTCACTTTAGCTTCTAAGACAGTTGAGCAAAAAGCTTTTCCAAACCACAACAATACTTAAGTTTTAGAAGCTGAAAGGTAAATATTCACCTCCCAAAGAGGCTCCACCTGTAAGGACAGAAGTGGCAGCATGTATTTGTCAAATTTTAATAACTAAAGACAAACATAACCAGTGCATGAAATGGAGACAATGTACACTTCAGAAGTCTGCAATGATGGAAGGGTGCATAATTTTTTTTTTTTAGAACCACACCCAAGGTTAGCAATTCATGCATATATGCTTATAACTGCGAAAAGGTTTACACCATCACTAACTAGATATCTTGTGGTTAGTGTATATTAGCTAACACAGTACAGAGTTTGCCTTACTCACAAAGGCCACGTCCCCACTACAAACTAGGGGACAGACTCCCAGCTTGCACACCCTCATGTGAGCCTAAGGAGAGCTAGCATGGGTACAGATAGTTGTGCAGCTGTGGCAACATGAGACGCAGCAGTTGTGGCACAGGTCAATCATACGGAATACAAATCCACTGGAACCTGGTGGAGCGCTAAACCGTGTTGCCACTGCTTATTTCACCAAGGCTACACTATCATTTATACTTGCACAAGCACACCTTGAACTAGCACGGGTACATATACACGAGCAGGCGATCACTCCAACTCACAGTATGGACATGACCAAAGACACTATCCCTCCAGTACCCTCATCCCACTAAGAGGGAGAACACTAATCTGCCAGTGACCATTACATGGAAATGTATACTAGAATAAAGCGTCCCTAGTTCTCTTGAAATCTCAGAATGTGGAAAATGGGAAGTTTGCGCAATAGTGTTCTGTCATAATTGAAGAAAAAAAATCAACATTTTGGGGGTAAGATAGGGAAGTACAAAGGCAAAAATTTGTTTTGGGTGAAGATACCAATTTTAAAAACAGCTAACTTGCAAGCACATGTGCACTACTATGGTATAACCAGCTGTCTGAAAGAGTGCTTGTCACATACTTCCGTGAGAGGGTAAAGACTAATTTATATCACTAAAGAAAATTACCAGACTGAGATTTACCATGGCTAAATACATTCTGGAAATAACATGTCTACATACCAGCTAATAAGTGTTCCATCTTTGTTAAGCTATAAATGTCAAAGTTAATATAATAGAGGATGTGTTCAACTGTAGGACTGAGAAAATGTGAAATATTCCCAAATACTCAATGAATTTCCTTGAGTAAAATTAAAGAACTTGCCATTTAAGCTTCCACTGGTAGATACAGCATTGTTCTGCTTCTGGTTATCGTATGCTGGACCAATATTAGCAAGGTCCTGAAAAAGGAAAACTCAATTTAAGGCGGCTACAGATTTATGGGCAGGTTAGTATGTACAACCTGTTTTGAAAGGATGTGCCTAGTTCAAAGTCTGAGCAAAAAAGTTTTTGCTCTTGAGGCTTTCCAAGAGCTGAAGTGCTACTGAAATTTTAGCAGCATAGCATAACACAAGATCTTCAGAGCACTGGGAAGATTTTTTTTTTTTTAAGTTTTCTAAAAAGGACCCAAACTACACAGCCAGAACACCCAATGGGTCAAGCTCATGCCATTTTTATTTGGCGCTAAGATATTGTGTCACAAGGTTAGTAAAGATTTTAACCCTTCCTAGATCCTAGACACATGCTGGCTGAGGGACATGACTTTTAAAAATGGAGGCAAGATTCCTGCACGCATTTTGAGTGAGAGTCATAGTAAAAGAAATGAGAAAAACAGGATAGTCTCCATTGCTAAAGGCAAGACTCTGTTTCAAGTACCCACAGTGTGACTGGAACACTATTAAGATGGGTATTCCTGATGCCACAATCTTTGGCAATTGCATATGAAGGCCTAATGATACTGCAGCTACTCTTAATTACATGAGTTATGAGAACGTATTGCAAAGGGGAGAACTTTCTCCCTGCCTCAATCACCTACCTGATCTAGTAACCCAAACTTTGGGTAATCCTCCTCTGGATCTTTACTACCTGGGTCTGGATGCTCTTTCACCAAGAACACATCCCTTTCTTTGCACTGAAATAAGGAAGACAGGAAAGTAAGAACTCTCAGGGACAGTATTCATGTCTGAACTATTTTTCTAGTTTAGTTCTAATTATCCAATAAGTCGATCAAAAAGCAACTCGATCATTAGCAAAGATCCTCTGCAAATTTAAACATTTAGTTACTTACCATTGTTTTTACAATGTTATTTGGCCAAGTCATTTTTCCAGGTCTCTGTCTAGTTGTCATACACTCCCAGTATTTGTCAATAAATGGTATAATATCCTATTTAAAAAGATGATAAAGTGAGTCATTAAAATAGTTAAAAAGTTAAGAAATGAAACTACTTTATTAAGCCAACAACTCTCAACTCCAGATCATACACATTTTAATTGATCTGTCAGAGCTGGTGAGCCTGACAGATCATACTGTCAATTTCTGCCTGAGTTTGTGGATCTAGGCAATTCCCTTTTTATGTCATGTCAGAAGTAACAGTCTAATTACTTCTGTACCTTGTCTTTTGAGAACATAGTTTTTGGATGCTCATCTTGTGTCCTTGACTGCCATGTCAAGTTGGCCAGAGCACTAAGGCACATTTCCTTCAAATCTTAAAAACAAAACAAAAACATGGCAAAATTAGTTACATCTTTGATGAAGGTCAAGTGTATTTATATACAATAGTAAGGCTGGTAAAAACTAAGAACACAGCAGATTTAAACTTAGATCAACTTCCATTAGTTGGTCTCACCTCTGCAACATGCTGAGTTTTGGAAAAGGGGGCTGCTACAGTGAATTGTGTTGTAAAAAATAAACCTGGTTGAAGGCAAAAATTCTACCAGCCTAAGAAATTCACAATGGCATTCTCCATGTCTAAAGTAGTCAATCCCCCAGCAGGTTTTGTTGCAATCAGCACTGCAAATCTTTACCAGACCCACTGAAAGATTTTAACCAGCTATAGGACAGTCGTCAGATAGGGCCATTCCATCCCCAACCAAGATTCAGAGAGGATAAGAAATTCAGGCTTTTACAATACTTACTCGCTTGTTTTCTTAGAAAGTATGTGTTCCCGCTATGATGACAAACATTGCAATGGAAACTGTAGTTGGTCATGAAAGGCAGACATGATCTGTGAAACAGCAAAATCATTCAAGAAGTTACTATACACGGCTTTTCTATTACACCAAAAAAAGAAAACTGCCTCTTCATTAAAAAAAAAAAAAAAAAAAAAAAGTAACTCAGGGTCAGCATAAATACCATTTTTCTGTTTGAGAAACAGTCCTGAAATTTGACCACTAAGGCAAATTGATAGCCACTCAGGCACCTTGCACGGTGAACCATGGATTAGCTCAGGTACATCGAAAGCTATAAACCTCCCTATAAAATACTAATTCCATTGTAAAACCAATTTTTATTTAACACACATTAAAAGTTCTCAAATATCAAAATGAACTTGCTTTCCATATACAGTGTCTGTCTTTTTCACTTTTCAGTCAGCAAATATACACTAGCAAGCTCTGTGTTCCCCTGCCCAACCTCTTTTTTAAGTCACTTTCACAATTGTCTCATGCAGCAACCCAAAGCTACAAATAGGTCAGGAAAATTTCTATCTGCAAACAAAGATTTTTTCATTGAAGTGTAAGAAAAATATAAACACTCTGTGTTATGTAAAACTGTTTTATTATTGTTTACATAGCTCAAAGTGCGATATGCTATGCAAACAAAATAGGAAGACAAGGTCTTTCCCCCAGGGAATTTACATTCTAAATACTTCCTCCTTTGTTTATAAAACAAAACTTAGGCAGCATCTTTTTAAAATGTACTGATCTGAGTTTAGGGTCTGAACCTTTCAACTTTCCCTTTTTGTAGTAGTTTATGTTTAACACTGTACAGTATTTGGGCTTTTTGAGGGGGTGTCTGTGCTGCCTAACTGTGTACTTCTGTTCCCAATAACACATGTGGTTGACTGGTCAGTTTGTAACTTTGGTGATCATAACTGAGATTCTACTGTGATATGTCTCTCTCTCTCTGTCTGTCTGTCTGTCTGTCTGTCTGTCTGTCTCTCTCTCTGTCTCTCTCTGTCTCTCTCTGTCTCTCTCTCTCTCTCTCTCTCTCTCTCTCTCTCTCATATTTCCTTGATTTTCAGTGACTGAACTGATTAAAAAAATCAGCCCTAAGCAACTTTAGCTCTAAATGAACTGATCTTCAGCGACCTCTCTCAGCTGGAATCAGAAGTGTTCTGCAAGCAGGAATACTGTTCCCGGGTTGGAGTTTGTTTTTTAAACAAACCAGCCATTTTTCAGAGAAGTTCATTAGAATTTAGAGTAAATTTTGGAAGACACACAAATATTATGGTACCGGAGGATCATAAGTATCTAGACAGATTATATGCAGCATTATTACATACGTTGAGAGAATTATTACATACGTTGTATCAATGCCAAAGGTGTCCGCTGTGAACCACTTTGTACAAATCCCACACTGCAGCTCTATCTCTCCAAGCTGTCGCCCATTCTCTTCATCCACCGAGCCTGTCTGAGTGTCCAAGACTTCAGAACTGTCCCCAGCCCCTTCCTGCAAGCATAGTAGCATTAGCAGGTCTGGACTGGATTAACGCCAGCAGCATGTTTCTCTTCTGGTGGTGCACGTAACATATCTCGGTGCACGTAACAAAATATACTCCACACACGGATGGAAAAAATGAAAAGGACTCGAGATTAATGAAGCTCCTGAGGGGTAAGCATGAGGAAGGGCAGCCAGGGCCCCATGGCATGGTCCGACACATGGCATACGCAGGCTTTGTAGCAGAAGCCCGCCAGGCAGCCCAACAGGAAGGCAGAGCCAGAGCAAGGTGCCTGCTAGCCCGCTTCGTCTTGCGGCAGTGCCGCAGGGCTCCTGCCAGGCACCGGAGCTGTGCCAGCTGCGGCACAGGACACAAGGGCCTCCCCGCCCATAGCCAGGGCACCCCCGGAGCTGCCCCCGCCCGCACAGACCCACCGGCGGCACTCACGTACTAGGGCATCCTTCCCGTTGGGGGACTCGGTCTCCAGCCCGGCGGCGACATCGGCTAAAGCGGCATCCCCCCTGCAAGGGCCGGAGCAGGGTGAGAAGGCGGCACCTGGGGGGGGCTTCTGCATGGCAGGAACAAACCCCCCATGTGCGTTCCTATAAGGGGGGGCCGCTCCCGCGCGCGTTCCAATGGGGGGGCCCGCTCTCCCCCCGCGCGTTCCAATGGGGGGGGCCCGC